GTTCTGTTTGTTTATCTCCACATATACACGGACAGAAAAATTTATATTTACACCTGTATCCTTGAGTGGGAATCATACCACTTCAAGTGCTATCAGAGGAGCCAGGTTTTATGGCTCCATTACACGTGAGTGTACATTTTATAGTTTTTACCCACATTTGCTTCATAGCTCTACATACTTCACCATATAGGATTTTTATTTGTTTATTTTTTATGAGGATACCCCCTACCAGGCCTATAATTCGAAGAATTACCTCTGCACTTGATTCATAGGCGGGGATTATTCCGCCCATGCGCATATACTGGAGCTGTATTGAAGCTCCAGGAAAGTGTGAGTGCACATCTTTTATCTTACCTATCACCACTACAGTTTTAAAATACTACACTATTATTTATTCTCTGGTTCTCTCCACATATACCTTGTCAAGGGATTACTGAAGCACTGCACCTACCCCTCTGTTTTTATCCAGTTTTCTGATCGTAAAAGAGAGACTCCATATTGGTGTTCAAGCTGCTTGTGGACTATTATCATTTGCACCCGCGCTGAATTAACTTTTTGTGTGATTGTGTACTAATATTATTGAATCTGGTGTGTAAGCATATTGGATTCATATATATATATTTATATACACACACACATTCGACATATATATTTAACTATTAACTACATAATTATTTGATTTTATTAATTATAATTTGAGGGACCTGCCTGTCAACCCAGACAGGCAGTCCAGAGAATTTAATTGGCAAGCTGTCACGGTCCCCGGCTCGCCGCCATGTGCGTCGTGCCCGACCGGCATGACCGCACCAACTCACTGAGCTTACCTTCTCAGCGGCGAGCCGGGAACCGTTCCTCCACGCCGCTCGGGGAAGTTGAAGATGGCGCCGACCATGAGGTCGCGTCCATCCATGGCTCCACCCCCCAAAATTATACGAACGTGCGCGTGACGTCACGATGTCAACGCATATGCACGTTCTGGGGTCAGAGGTCACCCTCTGACCAATCAGAGCCTAGACAGGGATATTTAAATCCCTAATTCACCCCAGTACCTTGCCCTGTCGTGGTTTCCTGTTCCTAGTTCCCTAGAGTGCGTTTATCTTTGTGAATATTACTTCCTGGTATCCTGATCTTGGCTTTTCCCTGGTTATTCCAAATTCTGGTTCCCCTGACTTGGCTTGTTTAAATGGTATCTAAGCATTTCTGGCTTCCGTGACCTCGGCTTTCCCTTTGACCATTCTCTATCTCTAGCGTATTAGTCCAGCCATTCTAAGGTCCGGTTTACGCTCTGTCCTTTTATTTTCTTTCCTTTTGTATGTATATGTTTACATAGTTTCTGCGTGTTGGACCACACTAGCAGTCGTGACACAAGCCCTATATTGACCCTGTAATTTTCCAAAACACCTTTTACATGGGGGGTATTGTTATACTCGGGAGACTTCGTTGACCACAAATATGTGGTTTTAAAAAGTAAAACTTATCACAACGATGATATCACCAGTAAAAATGCAGTTTTTATTTTGAAAAAATGCAAAAAACTAATAAAACTGTCAACTTTGGTCCGCGTTTGTGACTAAGTGGCTACTAGAAAAGACTGGAAATACCCCATTTTGAAAACCCTGGGTTGTCTTCCTTTAGGAAATGGTATGTGATGGTGGGGTTAGTTTTAATTTTTGGGCTGCCATACCGTCTCAAAGGCAACATAGCCAATCTGGCAAATAGCAATTTACAAAAACAGAAATTGGCAAATCTTATGTGTGACCCTGTAACTTTTCAAATTACCATAACACCTGTACTTGAGAGGTACTGTTGTACTCGTGAGACATTACTCTACTTCAAATATGAGTGTCTTAGAGCAGTAAAATGTATTACATTGATAATATCATTGGTGAAATGGCAGTTTATGTGTTAAAAAAACAAAACAAATATAAATGTTAATTTAGGCCAGGGTTTGTGACTAAGTGGCTACTAAAAAAGACTGGGCATACCCCATTTTTAATACCATGAGTTGTCTACTTTTACAAATGGTATGCCCTGATGAGGTTAATTTTCATTCCTGGGCTGCCATACGGTCTCAAAGGCAACATAGGCCCCGCAAACCAATCTGCCAAACTTCAATGTACAAACATAGAAAAGAGGAAAGCCCTACATATGGCCCCTGTAAGTTTGCTAAAACCCATAAAACCTGTACATTGGGGGTACTGTTGTACTCAGGAGATGTTGCTGAACACATATTGGGGTGTTCTTTGTCAGTAACACATAACAGGAACTGAGAATCCATGCCTAAAGTACAATGTGAGAGAAACATAACACAAAAAAAGGACTACCCAAAGGTTTGACAAAGACTGGTGGTAGAATTAGTGCATGGAAAGTGTTAAAATACCACCATTTGAAATACCTAAGGGTGTCTACTTTTCAAAAATACATGGTTTGATGGGGGTAAATTACATTGTCCAGCTTAACAAATGTCCCAAATAGGACATGGGTGCATGATGATCAGCTTTGAAAATTCAAAGTTGGAAAACTGGAATGCACACCCTCCAAATAAGGTATTTTAGCCCCCAGAGAACCCGACACACCTATACATGGGTGGTATTACTGTACTGAGGAGATGTTGCTGAACAAAATGGTTTGGAAATAGCAAAGTGACGCTTGTACTTATTGCCCTATAACTTGCAAAATAAAAGCTAAGAACATTTACCATTGGGTATTTCTAAACTCAGGACAAAATTTAGAAACTATTTAGCATGGGTGTTTTATGGCGGTTGTAAATGTTTAACAGATTTTGGGGGTCAAAGTTAGAAAAGGTGTTTTTTTATTTTTTCATTATATTGTATAAAAAAAATTATAGTAAATTATATGATATGATGTAAATAATGGTATCTTTAGAAAGACAATTTAATGGCAAGAAAAACAGTATATAATGTGTGGATACAGTAAATGAGTAAGAGGAAAATTACAGCTAAACAAAAACACAGCAGAAATTTAAAAACAGCCCTGGTCCTTAACGGTAAGAAAATTTAAAACCAGTCTGGTCACTAAGGGGTTAAGAGGATAATCCTTTACTTTTTGCAGTGTGTCAGTATCACTGCTCTTTTGCTCAGAAATAACTTCATTAATTTCACTCAGATGCTGAGAGCCTGCCTAGGAAATCAGAAATTGTGAAAAATGAAGGATGCATTAGACATAAGGAAAGAGAAAAAGGTGGCGCCAAAGAGATAATATATAAAATGAAATATAAGCAAGTAGTAATATAGAAATAAACATATGACATATAATACAGAGAGAACAATAAAAATAATAATAGGGATATATATATAGAAAAACATGCATTAGACACGTATAGCACTACAGTATAGACAATCTGTAAGCATCCATATATTTTAGTCCCTGAATTTCCATATATGTAAAGAACACTAGTAGGTTACAATCGTTTTTAAAGGGACACTCGTAAACGCTGCAGCTTTTTATAAACAATGTAAACCAATTTTTTACAGAATTGGTGGGTATGGATCTGAGAGTGCCCCTTTTACTGCAACCTTAACATACTAGATTTTTCACGTTTTATTATTATTAGCATCAATTAATTATTTAGAAGTAACATATTTTGCAATGCTAGACACATTAGCAGTTTCAGAATATACCTGAGGTTTTAGTGTAAATGTACAGTTCTAAAAATATCGAGGGTTTTTAAATCTTTAATTTTCAGGCTTTCATCTTTGTTCAGTATTTTTTCAAGTGTTTGTTAGCCAGTTGTGCATAAAGATCTTGGGTTCCCGTAGGCACAGCTATTTTGGTACATATCTTATAAAGTATGGGATACGTCCTATCCTAAATTCACACAAAGATGTCAGAATAGTGATTTGACTGTTTAGAATATTTGGGTTTTCTTAAAGAAATGTTATGTGTGATTTTTAGTACTTATTAATTCTAAATCTTTAAAAAAAAAATAATTTGCCATGATGCACTCCCTGAACATCACCCACAAGATCACGTACCAATAAGAATGCATGGAAATACATTTATTTGATTCAATAAAACAATACTAAAAGTAAGAGACATTAATATTCCGTGATATGGGAGATGGGGGCATAAGAGGGAAATTATAGCTCCCTATAATAATAATATATAATATAGGTCTAATATAGGTCTAGTGCAACTGGGGATACCCAAATGATATTGGTAGATGCGTCCCTGCCGGTGCAAACGCCACACGTGTTGGGAATCGCGGGTCCATCGGGTGGCCGATGTACTTAGGGCCATATAACGGACATCTGTCATGAGGGGCCCAGTCATGCACTGTGGCGCTTTAACAACGCCCCTTTTAATCTGCAGTGAGAGCAGGAAGGAAGTGACGGGCTCATACTCAGACACATCCAGCAAGAGCCACCCTCCTGCGTCTAAAAGGCAAGAAACTGGCGGCTAAAATTGTGACCTGTATGTGTGTGTTTTGAGTGTCTGCATCATGGGCGTCCGCAGGAATTTTTCGGGGGGAGGCGGGCATAATTGTAATGACATCCATGCTTGGCCCCTTTTTGACAGCATCATGAAGGGGAGGAGCATAGTCATTTTCACATAAAGCCAGGGTGAATAGCATTTTCACAACTATGGTGTCAGGAATACATGTTTGTATTCCTGACACTATAGTGTTCCTTTAAGCAAATTAAAGGAATATTCTGGTCACCATAACATCTTCATCTAAATGAAAATGCTGTGGTGCCAGGAAGCCCCTGGGTACTCCCTTTAAGGAGTTAAACCGCTCTCAAATGGTTTAACCCCAAAGGCTTCCTCCAGCTCCAGATTTCCAGGTCGCTCAGTGGTATTCGGCTTCTGAAACGGAGTG